CGGGGCCGCGCCCCCGGCGCCAACTTCAAAATGGCCCCGCGGCCCCAAGGGAAGGGGGGCAGACCGCGGGCGGAGGGCAGCGCCGTGCAGAGCAGGGCAGCGCAGCGCAGCGTAGCACCCCACCGCACAGCACCCCACCGGCCAGAGGAGCAACGTCGAGGCAGCGGACCACCCCCCGGCGTACGGATACCCCGGACCGCAGCGTGTTGGTGAGCACGGGAGCAGAAGGGGAAGGAAGCAGCCCAGGGCAGAGTCAGGGATGACTGGTGGGCTGACGAGTTAAGGGGTCGTACCCCGTCAGCCGGGTTCGGGTCGCTTGGACCAGAACCCTTAGGGCCCTGGGCTGGGGCCCGTGAGAGTGGGCGGGCCCGGGCCCCCCTTCCCCTCCTGTCTTGTTTCGGGAGGGGAAACCGAAGACAAGAAAGTGAATAAGACTGACCAAGGGAGCTCGGGACTCAAGGACCATTGCGAGCCCTCCGGGCAAACGCCGCGGGGCGGCGTGGGGGCGTCACACAAATATATTAGAAGCAAGAAGGCCAAGGACAGGGTAGGCCCATTACTCAATGAAAAGGGGAAAACAATGACAGAAAATGTGGAAATGGCAGGGGTGCTTAACTATTTTTTGTTTTGGTTTTCACCAAGAAGGTTGGTGGTGATTGGATGCTTATTATAGTGAATGCTGGAGAAAAGGAGGTAGGTTCAGAAGTTAAAATAGGAAAAGAACAAGTAGGAAAGTTAGATGTCTTCAAGTCACTAGTGCCTGATGAAACGTATCCTAAAATACTCAAGTTCATTGAGTCATTATCTATCATCTTTAAAAAGTCATGGAAGATGGGAGAGATTCCAGAAGACTGAAAGAGCAAATATAGTGCCCATCTATAAAAAAGGGAAATAAGAATAACGCAGGAAACTACAGAGCAATCAGTTTAACTTCTGTGCCAGGAAAGATAATGGAGCAAATAATTAAGGAATCAGTTTGCAAACATCTGGAAGACAATAAGGTGATAAGTAACAGTCAGTATGGATTTGTAAAGAACAAATCATGTCAAACCAATCTGAAAGCTTTCTTTGATAGGATATCAAGCCTTGCGGATAAGGGGGAAGTGGTGCACATTGTATACCTAGACTTAAGTAAAGCATTTACTACAGTTTCGCATTAGCTTCTTAAAAATAAACTAGGGAAATGCAACCTAGACACAGCTACTATGAGGTGCGTGCATAGATGGTTGGATAAACGCTCCCAGAGAGTAGTTATCAATGGTACATAGTCATGCTGGGAGGGCATAACAAGTGGGGTTCCACAGGGTTCTGTACAATATCTTCATCAATGATTTAGATAATGGCATAGACAGTACTCTTATAAAGATTGTGGATGATACCAGGCTGGAAGGGACTGCAAGAGCTTTGGAGGATAGGGTCAAAATGATCTGGACAACCTGAAGAAATGGTCTCAGGTAAATAGGATGAAATTAAATAAGAACAAATGCAAAGTACTCCACTTACGAAGGAACAGTGAGTTTCACAATGCAAACTGGGAAATGACTATGTAGGAACAAGTACTTCAGAAAGGGTTGTAGGAGCCATAGGGGACCAAAAGCTAAATACAAGTTCACAGTGTGACACTGCACAAAAAGGAAAAAAAAATCCACCATAATTTTGGGATATATTAACAAGAGTGTTGTAAGCAAGACAGAAGAGGTAATTCTTCTGCTTTGATCTGCATTCATTAGGTCTCATCTGGAATACTGTGTTTTGTTCTGGGTGTCACATTTCAGGAAAGATGTGGACAAATTGGAGAAAGTCTAGAGAGGAATAACAAAAATGATTAAAAGTCTAAAAAACATGATCTATGTAGGAAGATTGAAAGAACTGGGTTTGTTTAGTCTGGAGAAGAGAAGACTGAGATGGGGACATTATAACAGTTTTCAAATACCTAAAAAGTTGTTACAAGGAGGAGGGAGAAAAATTATTCTCCTTAACCTCTGATGATAGGACAAGAAGCAATAGTTTTAAATTGCAGCAAGGGAGGTTTAGACTGGACATTAGGAAAAACTTCCTAACAGTCATGGGAGTAATGCACTAGAATAAATTGCCTAGAGAGATTGTGGACTCTCCATCATTGGAGATACTTAACAGCACCTTAGACAAATATCTGTCAAGGATTATATAGATGATGCTTAGTCCTGTCATGAGTGCAGAGGACTGGACTTGATGGCTTCTTGAGGTTCCTTCCAGTTCTAGTATTCTATGTTTCTATGATATGTAAATGTTAGACCTAAATTTTGAAGTGGAGACTTTCTATTTCCTCCCTTGAACAAGGGACCAAAAGGAAAACACTCTTCTCCAAGAGAACCAAGTGCAGCTGTTGTTTCTTTTGACTTCTGCGGTGTTGGTCTATCTGATTCCCAAAACAAATTTTCTCTAGTGTATCTTGGGCTCTTTCTGGACCTCTAGTTGGAATTCCAAGTTCTACAGAGAAACAAACTTGTGGACATCCACCTGTAGGCAGTGGTCTCTAAAACTATATCAGTCACATAAAAAACTGCCTAAACCAAGCTAATCCCTTTTTGTAGATGAGAGTATAGGAAGAATGACGAGAACTGACCAGAGAAAAGGTTTTGACAATTTCATTTGACTTTTTGGCCATGAAGTCTTGGAAGTACATGATATGAAGGGTTATAACTGCAGATTGGTAAACATTTATTTTGAATGAATCCAAAGGCACAGCATTGGGTTCTGGGGTGCAGTACTGTAATTCAACTAAAATCAATCATCTTGGATTTATGTCAGAAAAATTAGGGAAAGGTGGTATCATCCTATGAAGAGCTATCTTCTTTGTGTTCCTCTGTATAGAATATGTATTTAGCATCAGATGAATCCTCTCCCATGCATCTGAATTCAAATTACTACTACCATTATCCTGAAACTTAGGCAGTCCTACTCTAACATCTTAAATGTTATAGGTAATGGAGAGATCTAGAGCAATACTAGAGCTTCAGTAAGCAGTAGCAATGACTGAGACTGAGACCCTTGATGCAACTGGTGCTTGATGTGCTAGTGTGAAATCCAAAGCGTCCATGTCAGGAGCAACAATTTTCAGGATGCAAGGTTGTGCCTCAATATAAAAAGTGATCAATTTGTTCCTAGAGACTCTATAACTGCTGATACAGGGTATACTGAGTGGCTACCCCACTCTGACCTGAAGGGTCTAAAATTCCAGGGCCACAGCAGCTTAACAATCAAGAGACTTACTCCCAGGGTTTAAGCCTGTGTTTTGGAACTGGCTTCAGTGACCAATAAGAGTGTATGGACACACCAGGACACACTAGCTACTTAAGTATGTTGGACTGAGCTGGTGCAGTCTTTGTAGTCTGTTAGTCAGTTCAACACACACAAAGAGAAATAAGAGGAAGTCCAACGCCTAGGCATCAAGAGTAGAGAAAATAGCTCAGAAAATGTGTAATGATGACAATCTTTAGCCACCTCAGTTTCAACCAACTACAGACATTTCACAGTCCTGTTAAGGAAGGAACACCAAACACTGCAAACATTTCTGCTTCAGCTTTCAAAAGCAGAACTTAGTCAGATGAATAAAATGACTTGACAAAAGAAGTGTAACTAACAGCAGTCAAAACAGAACTCACTGGAGGACAACACTTAAATTTTTTTTTGCATACTTGGATGTATTTCTGTAACTCTGTTTTTTCAGTACTCCACAGTCAAGAGTGGGATGTTGCCCATAAGACAGTGATTTAAAAATCTGACAAAAAGTTAAATTCTAAATTAATCTTAATATGGAAAATAAATTGTGAGACACTTTCTTAAAAATCAGGAACACTGGGATTTCTGTACAATATATTCTCCAAATGCAGGTTTTTAACTTATTAAATACAATGTGCTTATATCCATGATGAGGCTGCATGAATAAATAGCACAACATGCCACCATTCAAGTGCTGGTATTATTATCCTGTCCCAATTTATACTCAGCTCATATTGCAGGGAGCAGAGGCAATGCTACAATTGTACAATAAGAGAAAGACTAAACAAGATAAACATCACTCATTAAAAACATTCTTATCAGACTATTCCTCATACTACTAGGGTGGATCATGTTAAATTCCATACTGAGAAGAAAAATAAAAAAGTACTCCTCCTCCAAAATGAATACCACCACAATGCTGTGATACTTGCAGCAAGCAGAATAGTGAATGCAGCTTCTGCTATGTTTTCTTTACCCATTGCTGTTAACGCGCACCATATGAATGTGAAGTAACAATAGATGTTAATCTTTATTAACACGTGGTACTTACTTATCTCCCACAATTCCCAAGTTGATTGTTGGGTAGCCGTGTTCTTGAATTGTGGCTAGGAGAGTGGAACGGTTACTGTCTCGGATCTTTCCTGGTAAGAGGTCATCCTCAGGATTCAACAACTGTAAAACAGAGCCATACTACCAATCATTCACTTCAGAGTGTTATGTGCCTTTGCTCATGGGAAACTTTTTGCTTTTGAAGGTGGATATGATTCCTACTGACACTTATGACAAATCAGTCAATGTGTGTCTGTAAATAGGTTCTGTGAATTCAGAACCTATAAAGCAATTTAAGCCGAAAAGCCATGTGGTTGAGACACTGACTGGTAAAGCAAAATAAAAAGTTTTTCTGATTCTTACTTGAATTATTTCAATGTATCAATGTCTGCAAACCCTCTTGTCATGGGGAATATCAGACTTCCAATTTCATTCAGAATAAAATCAAAATAAACACTTAATTTGTAACTGTTTCCAAGTTGATGGATAGATCTGCTTATTCTGATCTTATTGACACCTTAAGCTGCCACGTTAATGCTGCAACAACCAAGAATAATAAAGTCTAGTGTCTGCTCCATTTGGAAGACACATTTTAAATGTGGAAACCTACAGCAGCTTAAAAGATGAAAATTTAAACAGTTTCATATACTAACCAGGTAATTCTTTAAATAACATCCATTTTAGATGAAAAATGGGCTATTTTAAGGGGTAGAAAGATGACAATAATAATGATGATCTTACATTTACATAGCATCTTTTATCCTGAAGGATGCCAAAGTATCTAACAAACATACAGACATGTTTTACACACTAGGAATCCTTTCATTCATGTCTGAAATACCTTAGCCTTTCAGATGGACTGTATTGCTGATTAACAGCATGCAACAACACAACTGTTGAGGACAGGAGATGAAGGAGAATGCTGTATCAATTTGAAAATACAGTCAGGATGTTAGATAGAAAGAATATAATTACTCAGATTGGAACTTGGCTAGGTCACAACAGTGTGGCTAGCACTCCCCTATTGTGAAAAGACTGGATCTAAGTTTACAATTTTATACAAAAGATGCACACAGGGAACAACAGGTCCCACTTACTAATCACTCTTTGAGGCATTCTGAGCTTTCTCTGGAGGTATCTACTGCACAGCTTATTCCTGCCTATTTTAGGAGGTCTCTTAAGATTTCAGCCCAAGGCTGGTTGGCATTCTGCAGTCAAAGAATAATTTTCATTGGGGTTGTGTAAGCATTAAACATTTCAACAAGCTGCATCACCCACAAAATGTGAATGGAGATTTATTTTTATGGCTCTATTTTACATATCAAAGATTTAAAACTTAAATACTTCAAAGGCTTTCAATAGGATGAGACTACAGCCAGGGGTTTATTTTAGTGTTTAGACTTCAAAAGGATTGCCTCAGAAGAGCACAGTCAAGATGTTAGGTCAAAATGTACATTTGAGGTAACTAGATTTTTTAAATACAGCACGGTTACTACAATAATAAAAGTGATTTTCTAGTTGGTCAAGATGAGGACTTTGAATTCAATTAAATATATAAGTTGTTTTTTTATATAAATTGCTCCAAGTGCTTCATCTTCCTCACAGGGCTATTGCCCAGAAGTACATGAAACAGCTATTTAAAATTTCCCCTGGCACTAGTATACATCTTTGAAATACTGTGGTGTTGCCGCCATGATGTTTCCAGGATGTTAAGAAACAAGATGGGTCAAGTAATATCTTTTATTGGACCAACTAAGACATTACTTCATCCACTTTGTCTTTCATAAATCCTTTGCCATTCATGTTTCTAATTTTGAAATTTTTGCAATGAGCATTAGAAATAAGAAAAGAATTACAGGCCATTTGGCGGCTGTTTATATTTCTGTGAACACGGTAAAAGAAATAACCTCTAGTTTTATTGAGGATTTGGGTTTTATAGTTCATTTGAAAGCTCTGCAAAGAAAACATGTGCAGTACTATATTTTTAATTTAATTTCTCATGCATACCTGCTAAGAGTAGGCATCAACTTTTTTGGGACTTACATATAGAGAATTAGGGAGCTTGTTATTCATTAACATATTAACTACATCCCTAATTCTTAGGTTATGTCCCCTTCTGTTGCACTTATATGGCCTTATAACTATAATACACAAGGTTGAAATCCTGATCTCACCAAAGGCAATGGAAGTTTGCTATTAACTTCAGTGGAGCCAGGATTGCACTCTGAGTACCTGCTTCTTCTTGACACCCCTTGATAAAGGCTTGTATAAGTCATTTTCCCTCTACATTTGAGGATGTGACCAATTTAAATTTATGGAAGGTGGGGAATGGAAAATGGGGAAAGAGCAGCAGCAACCCAAGCTTTCTCATATTAAAATTTAATAGGTTGTGCTAAATGGGAACCTTTTTATTCTGATGTTCCTGAGATTGAACAGGATAGAGCCCTCGTCTTAAACTGCATTGCAAGAGGTTATCTGGATTTCAGTGTATCCTTTTAAGAGCAAAAATTTGTGGTTCCCAACAAGGCTGCTTTTCCCCAGAAGGAAGAAAGAGAATGGAGAGTCATGAAGGACTTCATCCTTGTTTCCATTATTGCTTACTTGTTTGAAACTTCCTAATGACAAATCTGCATGTCCCCATGCAGGAGGCTAGTTGCTCTAGGTATATGATCTTGTCAGAACTTCCAAACTAAGCAGTGTTGGGCTGCGGTATTAGTTAAATAGAGCCACTATTTAGACTACTAAAGCAAATTGTTCAGTAGGTGGAACTCATCCATGCTCTGAATCAGGTTACTTCAAAGTCTTAGAATAGTTACACAGGTCAGTGGCTCAAAAGATGTAGTTCTGTAAACTAGAAGCGGTAAAGTATGTTATATTCTGACCATACCCAACCATATCCCTAGCTCTCCTTAGAATACTCACTGTGCTGGTGAGGAAAAATAGCTGACATAGGTCTGGATATGCTAGCTCTGTGCCTACTGTGGCTTGCCCAAGGATCTGGCCCATATTCTTGTGTGGAGGAAAACAAAATAAAAAAACAGTTACCTACCTTTTTGTAACTGTTGTTCTTTGAGATGTGTTGCTTATGTCCATCTAATTCTAGGTGTGTGCATGCCCTTGTGCACAGTAGACAGAGACTTTTGCATTAGCAATATCCAAAGGGCTGGCTGTGGTGCCCTCTGAACTGCCACACTCATGCAGGGGTATGTTAGCTGCCACCAGCTTTATGCCTGCTCAGTTCCTTCTTGCCAGCGACTCCAACACAAGGGTAGGCGGGCAAGTAATGGAATCATCTTTTCTTCTTTGAGTGCTTGCTCATATCAATTCCATTTTAGGTCACTCATAAGCAGTATCTATGGAGGTGGACTCAGAATTCACCTCTTGGCACCTTGGAGTATTGCAAGCCAGCATCATTCTGGGCCTGCTGGCTAAGTGCATAGTGGGACAGAAGGTATGAACCGACAACCAGATGGCTGCCCTAGAAATGTCCTGGATAGACACCTGAGCCAAAAAGTTTGCTGAAGAGGCCTGCGCCCTGGTAGAGTGGACGGTGATGATTGCTTGCAGAGGGGGGGCGGGCTGTCAATATAGAAAGGCCTACGTCATCTGACTCCGTCTCTGACTTGTGGTTTTAGGAAGAAGACTGGTAAGCAATTGAGTTGTAAATACTGATCAAAACTGTTAACTGATTAAATTATTAAAATTATATTGTTTAACTGGTTAACCATTAGGGGGGCAGGGCAGCCACAGTGAGTGAGAGTGAGTGTGTGTGTGTGGAGTCTTACTGTTGCTAAAGCAGGCATTTTGGTCCAGATCCGCTGGAGTTGGGGCCACTGCGGTGTGGCTAGGAGCCAGGTCCAGGGAGTCGGGAGCCGCTGAGAACTGGGACTGCGGTTACTGGGGCCGCAGCATGGCTGGGAGCTGGGGTGCCTGGGGCCACCAAGAAATGGAGCCATGGCCAGGAGATGGGACTGCAATGCAGCCGGGAGACAGGGCCATAAAGGCTGCTTCAGCATGGCCAGGTTCAGGCTGGGTCTGGGGCTGCTGGTACTGCTAAAGGTGGGTCCACTGGGGCTGGAATCTGGGGCCACTGGCACATGGCTGAATTCCGCCTGCCTGCCATGTGGCCCTCCTGCGACCCTGACTTCAGATTCCTGCCAGCTGGCTCCAAGTGGCTAGTAGACCAGTTAACCGGTTACCAAATAAGTATTCCGGTAAGTGCAATGCTTATCAGGTAACCAGTTAACCTTTTACATCCCTAGTAAGTAAGTATCTTGGTTTGAATGAAACTGAGAGATTGTCTTGTGATGGAAGGCCTTACCTGGACCTTTTCCTTGTAGAAGACTATGTAAGTTGCCATGATACATCCTTGGGTGCACCCTCAAAATGACTGCTTGTGGTCGCTTGGTCCCTGGAAGGACTAAGCTGGGCATATAGCAAAGATGACAACTGGTAGCATTTCTCAAAACACCTGTCTTTGTCCTTTTTTGTATGAGCCAGATTGAGGGGCACCCCAAAATCAACACTGGTGGAGGCAGTGGTGGATGGAATGTCTTTCTAGCCTTCTGTGAAATATGCAGGTCCAGGGAGCAAAGGGCATCCTGGGAGTCTCTAAAGCCATAAAGTCTTGCATCAGTCAACTCAAAGAAAAGGCCCATTCCCTCAAAAGGGAGGTCCTGAAGGATGTATTGCATCTCCTGGGACAGCCTGGAGGTCTGTAGGCTGGTGCTATACCTCATAACTATTGCAGAGATGCCTACCCTGGCTGATGACTCTGTGCCATCCCAGGCCATCTGGAGGACACCTCTGTGTACCCCCTTGCCTTCTTCTACCAGAGTGGTGAACTCCTGTGCCTGATCCTGTGGGAGGCTCTCCCTGAACTTGCTCACTGAATGCCATGCATTGAAATTTTGTCTCCCAAGTCGGGCCTGATGATTAGAGATTCTAAATTGGAGTCTTACTGTTGAAAAACAAAATCTTTTTGCCAAATAGGTCCAGCCTCTTGGCTTCTTTATTTTTGGGAGTGCCACTTGCTTGCTCTGCCTGTCCCTTTTATTGAGGACAGACACAACCAACAGCCCCACAGAAGGGTGTGTGTATATTCAAACCCCTTTGCAGGGAGATAGTACTTCTTTTCTACTTTCTTGAGTGTTGACAGAATGGAAGATGGGGTCTGGCACACCGACTTAGAGATCTTTGGGACCCCTGGGTGAACTGACAACACGACGTGAGCTGGGGCAGAGGAGAGGATGGGCTTCTCAGCTAACTCCTCAGCCTCCAAGTTCCAGTTAGCTACCACTCTTAGGTAGGGCTTGGTGTTCCCTGAAGTTATGGTGGGGGCTTGCTGGTTTATGAGGGATCTACCACCACCTCATCTGGTGAAAACAAGAATGATGACTGCACTGCTGGAGAGTGGGGGAGCAGCCCTTACTGCTTCAGGGACCATTCTGCAGCTGTTGGGGCCTCCCACAAAGTTGCCACCTTCAATTCGGCTCCTTGCTCTGACACTGGTACTGGCTGCACTAGGGGTATGTTGTCTGACGCCACGTGGGAGGAGTGGTGGGAGTACAATGCTGGCATAACAGGCACTCCCCATGGGTTCCAGTGTTGCCACTGGGCAACCCATTGCCCTTGACCCTATGTCGGTGCCACAGGTACCCTGGTGGATTCCTGGCTAGGAAACAATGGTCCTTTATGGGGTAGAGCTGAAATGTCCCTCCGACCTGGGTCAATGCCCTTGCTTGGCCCATGGAAACCTGAGTATGTTGACTGACTCTTCTCAGTGTCTGGTATGGGGAAGGTGAAGGCTGATGCCTGCCCATAGAATGGTACCAGCATCCCAGTGACCAGTGCCATGACAAGGAACTGTCTGATGCTGGAAGAGACTGACATCTGGGAGTTCTGTGAGGCAAAAGAGATGGTCACTTTGGCTGTCTCTGACAGAAGGACCATTGGATTGGAGTTGCAACTCCAGAGTTCCATGTCTTGTAGGTGGGGAATGTGATGTTGGAATTCTGAGGCTCCTGACGAAAGACCGAGGCTACGGTACTGGGGTTCTTGGCTGTGATAAAGCGGAACGATGCCTGTGGTCCAGGGACCAGGGCATTCCACTGCGTTTAGGGGTGGTCCCATAACTGGCTTACTTGTTTGAACCAGTGTCTTGGCAGGATCTACCATGAAGCCAGGTGTCTGCAATGCCAGTCAGCCTAAAAGTGCTTTGACCATCAGGTCTGATTCAGGTTCAGATGACTGTGCAATGCATTGGGACTCCCAAGAGACAGGTCCTTGGCTGGGTTTGGGGGTCCAATCACAACGGTACTCCCATGAGACTCCTTTTGGAAGGAGGACTAACACAGGTCCTTTTCCCAAAGTTCGCTTTCACAGTGCCTGCAGACTAGTTGACTTACACTGCTTCTTTGGTAATGGAGAGGAGGAATGGTGTCAAGCGGATCCCAGTGCTGGCAGTGCATTGCAGGCTGATGCCAAAATACCAGGCACAGAGTTCAAGTGAGAGGGGTCCAATGCTGAGCACAGAGCAACCTCCATGAGGTCCTTCAACTGAATGTACTATTCTTTTTGTGTTCAGGGGTGACAATTTTTGCAGAGCTAGTACTTGTTTTTACTATGGGCCTCCTCTAGGCACTTTAAACAACTCTCTTGAGCAGTGGTGAGCAACCTATGGCCTACATGTAGCCTATCAGGGTTCTATGTGTGGCCCACCAAACATTTTGTTCATTGTTGCCCCCGCTCAGAGTTGCCAGATTCTGCTGGTTTCTGTCCATATAGTTTTTTTCCTACCAGTAGTACTAAAGTAACACGCATGTAAAGCAAGGGCATGTGAAGTGAGATGAATGCTGATTGCACACAACATTGACTGAGAGAGCCATGCACCCCTTCTACATCCAATCAAAGTACTGTTATGGTTCAATCAGCACATCCTAAGTATGCATGTCTGGTTAGCAATCATATCCAGGGGACCATCTTGGTTACGACAGTCTTGTGGCCGACTGAGATGCTCTTGAGGGTCACTGATGGGTATTGGCTGACTGCACCCAAAACTTGGCTTGAACTTTGGGGAACAGGGCATGCCCCATTCTGGGATAAAGTCTTGGCCGGGACTCTAACTACTAAACTACCTCAAAGAACTCAACAGCTAACTAATCACTCAACTAAATAACAAAGAACAATCTAAACAGTGAACAACTAATGCTCCTGGCTAAGCACTCCAACCAACCTACATGGGGGTATGAAGGAACTGAGAGGGCACTGGGCTGGCAACACATTATGTACTGCTGCCTCAGTGAGGCACTCCAGAGATGCCACAGCCACCTCTACGAATACCAATAAGGCAAAAGTCTCCAACAGCTGTGCACATGGACATGTGCACACTTAGAATGGACAAGAGTAAGCACTCCACAAACCATAATTAGGCTGGGTATTATTATCCAAAATACTACTTCTGTGCCTGCAAATAGAAGTAAGTTAAAAAAATCTTGAGTTTAAAGATTTTTTTTACCTCATTCCCAGTTGACATGACTGCAACGACTGGAAACTTGTTAACTTCTACTTCTGTTACTCCAACGGTTGCTAAGAGGCCAATTTCTGATGGACCCATGTGGGTTCCCTTAGCCAGTACACATTCACCTCTTTTAATGTCGTGTCCTATGGGTCTTTTCATAAAAAAAGAAGAAAGAAAAACAGAATATAATTCAAAATGATTCTTGTTACCTGGTCAAGCTCTGATTGAAGAGCGTGCATCAGTGCCCTGGTTATAAATTAAAAAATTCAGTGCTATTTATGGTAAAACAATGACTAGAAAATGCACTATCAATTATATTCTCTGAAGAGATATTTTAAAACAAGCTTATTTACACACCTGATATCTTGGCCTGGTCGAGCCTGCACCAGAATTCGTACTTCTAGTTCTTCAGTGCCCTGTAAAAAAGAGAAGGTCACACAATTTCAAATGTGTTAATCAAACAAAATTCATTAGCTTTTATTTCTCACTAGTCTCCACTGTTTCTGCATGGTTCACAAATGGCCATGCCACAGCAGTGATTATTCTGTCACAGTATTTTCCAAACATCATCTTAGTTTTTGTGATCTGCTGATCATGAGTGCTTTACAATGTGTGCTCTAATTTTAAGAGTTTAAAATAATTACTTTCCAGCTGAGCTTATTAGGAAAGGACCTGTGCTGAATACATGGTTTTGTCTTGCTTTTTAAATGACTGCTACATTTATGCTTCTTCCCCATACAATATCCTTGGGTTGTGTGATGATCTTATTTACCACAGAGATTCTTTCCCCTTTTCTCAGCCAACCTCACATCTTCAAGCATATTTAAGAAGTAGCCTCTCCAGGCAAAAAAAAAAATCAAGAAGCATAGCAAAGCATGTGGTATTACACCAACAGATAAGCAGTAAGAAAAAACCCGCCCTAACAACCAGTTGTGTGCCCACATTTCTGTGGGGTTATTTAGAATTTGTGTTGTGCAGGGACCTTTTCTCTTCTTTGGAACATCAGAGAGAAGATAACATGCCATGTTTATGTATTGTTAACAAGACTGGTAGGAAAGCCTGAAGTCTGCTTTGTGATAGAACTTTTGTGTTCACATACTCAGGAGTTCAATGCTCTGGTGGTTTGCTCAATGCCAGTAAATCCAGTGAGGGCAGTTTAACTTGTAGACTACATGATACGTATACATATTTAATTTAATAAGCTCTGTAAGTAGGTGGATGATAAAAATGCTCAGCTGCAAGAAAGCAGTAAGTTGTCAGCCACCCTTAATTTTTTACCTGAGACACCCCAATGCCATGAGTTAAACACTTTACAATGCAAACACAGCATGTGTTGAGAAGTAGCTTCCCTGCCATGTGAAACATTACAGCCTATTTTGTAAAATAAGATAGTGTTGGACTGCACATAGTGATTCCTCTTTACTTTTCTAAAAAGGCTCCAGAGAATCTGTCATTTTCATCAGGATAAACATCAAAGAGAAGCGGAAAGGATTTTGGTTTAATTTAAACATCCAAAATCACTTTGGAACTTTGATCATTGCTTCAAAACTGAGTTTTTAATGAGGATTGTGAGATCGGTGCCCATGCAGCAGACAAGCAGTTTTTCAGGTACCTCTGCCTCTTTCACTGGGGTTCATGAGGTGTCTGGAAACTGGAGAACTGAACAGAACAAGATCTCTGCACAGTCAGGCTACGCCTAGACAGCAGAGCTATTTCGGGATATTGGAAGTATCCTAAAATAGCTATTGCGCATCTTTAAATGCACCCATTATTTTGAAATAACGGGCGCACTATTCCGGCATCCCTGTAAGCCTCATTCTACAAGGATGTGTCTGCACTGCACCCCTTTTCCGGAAAACGGATGCAGATGAGACAAGTCGGAATTGCAAATGCAGCGGGGATTTACATTTTCCCCGCTGCATTTGCATGAACATGGCTGCTGCTTTTTTCCGGCTTGGGGCTTTGCCGGAAAAAAGCGCCAGTCTAGACGGGGATCTTTTGGAAAACAAAGTCTTTTCCGAAAGGTCCCTTATTCCTGATTTTAAGAGGAATCATTTAGCTCATTTTGTGTCTGACTTACTTACTAAATTTATTTTTATGAGCAGTTGTATAAATTCTTAGAGAATGCAAAGTGGTCCTGGAATATTTTAATGCATGGAGAGACTCTTTTGTATTCTCTTAAAAAAAAAGCTGGCCAAGGGAAGGTCCTTTGCTATATTCTGGACCTCCCTCAGAAATCTTGAGAGCTGAAGCCAGGAGGCCATTTTCGTAACTAACGGTATAGAAACAGAAAACAGCTATGTCAGGAGCATCCAAAGAGACCTATAGGGTTGTTCTGGCAAGAAGATGGTCCTCTGTAATGATTACTTTAAGTTGGTACCCTCTGTTCTGGTGGTAAACACTCAATACATAAAGGGAACTTAGAATAATTGGTGTGACTATATTTTGTCATCGGTTCCTAATAGCTGATGATTCTAAACTGTTTCTGTTCTTTGAGGTATGTTAGTTCATTTACAGCCATAGGGAGTTGGGAAAGGGATGAGAAAACAGAAACACCTAATCTTTAGATGGAATGTAATATTTCCTATCAGGCAGACAGCTCTTTTACAGGTGGACAGTATTGTTGCTGAGATATGCTAGTTTAATTTAGCAGGATCTAGCAATGCCTCATGAATAGGTAGCACAATTTAGGCATATGATACGGATTCTAACTGAGAGATGCTAATCTGGTATTTCCTGTTGATTAAATTAGGAAATGCTTTCGAGCTGCATGGAACACGTTACATCTCCTCTGAGGTTGTGCTAATAGGTGGGACATTTGGATCAGCATTGTGTTCCTTGTGCTAAGAATACTGAGGCAGGCCCAAGTACCAAATCTGTAATTACTTGCGGCTAATAGAAATTTATATCAATGTAATAAGTGATTGAGACTCCCAAAGGGCAAACAACTAATAGACACTCTCAAATTTACAGTGCATAAAGAATTTGCAGCATCTCAATGCCCAATTCAAGACACTAGAATAGACTAAGTAAGTCTTCAATGGGATTGCATGGACTAGAATATTTTGTGAAGCAGGAATATTGAGAAGTTTTTGAGATTCCAGGAAGAGGAATGAGGATGCAAGTTCTAATTCCTTCTGCAAGTGGTACTCTAATCTTAATTAATAGGGCGAAAAGAACTAATGGCATGACGGTTATGACACCATGTCCCCCTGGAAGCTTATGAACTACACAATGAATTTTTGCTATCCCTGGTGTTATGCTGCTGCATGGAGAACTATTAGCACAATGAGGTTTTAGTTACGACTCACATCATCTGATTCCCTGATGAGTTCTGTGTCTTCTACTTGCACCACAGCATCAGCACCACAGGGGATTGGAGCACCTGTTGTAACCCGCATTACCTGACCAGGCATCACAGTCTGGGTTGGCTGAAAAAAACAACAATCAAATGATGCAACTAATATACTTTTAACAAGGGAAAGGGAAAACATTTGAATACTGTAGAAATAAACTGTAGTATAATGAATTCTTTTCATAGTATGGCTTTTTTCTTCTTGATACACTGTTAGTGTACATCTAAACCACATGGCTCTGTCGACGGAGCCATGTAGATTAGTTTACATGAAAAAGGAAAATGAAGCGGCGATTTAAATAATTGCCGCTTCATTTAAATCAAAATTGTCAGCACAGCGCGGCAGTCCAGATGGGGATCCTGTAAGCCTTGTGACAGGATCTGCCGACGAAGGGTTCTGGGGTCGGCAGATCCCCATCTAGACTGCCGCGCTGTGCCGACAGTCAGCTGATCGGCACAACGCGGCGGCTATTTTGATTTAAATGAAGCAGTGATTATTTAAATCGCAGCTTCATTTCCCTTTGCCGTCCTGCCTAATCTACATGGCTTTCGACGGAGCCATGTAGTCTAGACACACTCTTAATGGAGTTATAATGGGTAAATCCTCTATGATTAAAGAATAACAGGTTCAAATCTGACTCAGGACATTAGTAATTGAAAACCATTATTATCTAATGGCAGTATGAAATAAAACAGTAGTTTTAGCCATTTTCCCAGAAGACAGGTTTCTACATCACAAAAAATAATTACCACAATAGGCAATAAATTGACATACTTGCTGGTAAGAAACCAAAGAATGATTTGTCCAAGAGAATTAATTCCCATATCATACCAAGAGGTGGTAATTCTGGGTTAGGGATGAAGCACACAGGCAAGGAGCTACTCCCCTGGTCTATACTAGGGGATAAGTTCAAATTAAGATATGTAACTTCAGCTATGTTAATTGCATATCTTAAATCGAAGTATCTTAACTCAAATTTTGGTGCAGTTCACACGGTGGGAAGTCAAAAGGAGTACACTTTCCCTTTGACTTCTCTTACTCCTTGTAGAAGTGGGACTACTGGCATTGACAGGAGTGCCCTCTCAGTTCGAATTACTTAGGTTTGCATGGGATATCTACCCTTAAGCGGATCTATCTGCTGAGGCCTAAAATGTATAGTGGAATTAGTAGTTGCTCTATAATAGTCACAAAGACCATGCTAAAGAACTCAGGCTGTGTTTGCACTTCTAAAATTACAGTGCAGCTGTGTCAATGCTTTAAAGTGAAAGTATGCCCACAGCAGGAAGGCTGGGAGAGAGAGCTCTCCCAGGACTGTCTGTAAACCGTCTCAATAACGGGAATAGCTACCATTGCTGGGAGCCGGTACTCTGGCACCTTACAGTGTCATGATTTCCTATGCTTAGCAGAGTGTTTTTTCACATCCCTGAGTCAGAAAGTTGCAGTATAGTAAAGTGGCAGTGTAGGTGTAGCTAAATTACTATCAGAAACAATATAAGGATATGTCTACACTAGCTAGTTAATTTGAGCTAGGTAGGCAAATCAGGCAACCGGAGTTGCAAATGAAGCCCTGGGATTTAAATATCCCGGGCTTTATTTGCATGTTCCCGTTTGGCTGCCATTTTTAAATCCCCTTAGTTCGAACGAACTGCCTGCGGCTACACATGGCAGTTTAAAGTTAATCCGAACTAAGTCTTTAGTTCGGATTAACCGTTACTCCTGATTTGCCTACCTAGCTCGAATTAATGAGCTAGTGTAGACATAACCTAACTTCCTAAGTAGCCTGCATTATGTATGACAGAAAAAATAGACAATAGAAATATGAAAAAATAAATCATGTGAAATAAAGTTTGTTTTTAATTAATCACTAATAATATTTTATTATATTTTCCAAAATCCATAGTAAAATTATCATTTGACCCTGAACATTTGAGAAAAGAATAAATAAAGAAAAAAAAATCTTGTTAATAAAAATCAACTGGAAGCTAATGTATGGATGTGCATATTTCCTTGTTTTGTGCAGAGCTGCTTGTTTGCTTTATCTATCCTTCTGCTGCAATCTCACGCGGTGATATCCTCTGATTTGCCAACATAAAATTGGAATTTCAGTATGACAAAAGTTGATGTGCCTTGTTCACTGGGGCAATACTGCAGAAGGAAGACAATCTGGCCTCATTAAGATATCTACTAAGATAAAATTGACAGTTGAGTCTGCATTTAATTTTGCCTATTCTAAGGAAAAAAGAGATCAAATGTCTTTCAGCAGGGCATAAATAAAATGGTAATGAGAACTAAAAAAGGGCCAATTATCATGTACCATATCTAGGATTTCACTAATCACAGAATCAGAAATGTAGGGCTAATGGGACCTCAGTCAGTCATCTAGTTCATTGAGGCTAGGTCTACACTAGCTTTTTCCAATCGCTTTTCTGGAAGAGGCTTTTCTGCCATTTGGCCCAGTCTAGATGGAGCCAAATGGTGGAAAAGCCTCCTCTTTCGGCAGAGCCCTTATCCCTCATAGAACGAGGAATACAGTGCTCCCTGAAATAGCGTGTTTGCTCTTCTGCAAAAAAAAAGTGGAAGAGCAAATGCATTTCTTGGACACGGCAGAGTTTTTCCGGTATCCCGGAAAACCCCCGCAGTGTAGACGTACCTTGAGTCTCAATATTTTTTCATTTGTGAAGCCTCTAAAAATTTTCAAATGAAGATATGGACCTCTTTGGAAATCTTAGATGTATTCTGAAGACTTGTACGGGCCCATGGATCACATGTTGAAAACTATTGTTTTTGTAAAGACAACCTTTTGCAAGATCCCAGTCATAATCTGTGGACCCCAAGGATCTGCAGACTACAGGTTGAGAATCACTGATCTAGTCCAGCCCTCTATACTAAGACAGGATCAAATAAACCTAGACCAGGGTTCGGCAACCCCCGGCATGCATGCCACAAGTAGCATGCGAGCTGCTTTTCCTTGGCACGCGAAGCAGGAACTCAGCCCCGCCCCCCTTCTCCTAGCAGCCGGGACCCTGTGACACTGTTCCTTTAATGTGCACGCCTACGCAGCGATGCACAAAAAATCTAAGCCCACCTAACTCTGCAGCAGCACTGCTGCTCTCACTGATGGTGGTGGGGATGAGGACAGGGAAAGCCTGTGGCTGCGTGACTGTGTGTGTGGGGTGGAAGAGTGAGGGGGCGGTTGAGAACTGGAAAGGGAGTGTTGAAGCCGCGGGAAGCTTGGGGATCAGAGGGAGTATGTTGAAGCTGTGGGAGGCCAGTGCCATGTTGGGGGCCGGCTTCCACTGTTGCTAAGGCTGCATTGTGGGGCAGATGGCAATTCGGGCTTAGAACACATGGCAGCCGGGCGAGTTGCTGCTGCAGCCTGGGGATTGGAGGGAAGCTGTTGCAGCCATGGGCAGGGGTTGTATATGTATTGCATATCCTGCAAAAAACTATTACTCATTGCATATGCGTAGTGCTGACTGGAAAACTATTGCTCTAGGACAGTGTCCTGCTTCTGCCACGTGCATTAGCCTCGTGTTATTCTGAGACAGCCGAAGCCAGAGGGAGGGAAGAAGCAAAGTCATCAAATTTACAGAGATCTTGACAGCAGGAAGAATTGATTCTCAGCAACTAATGGCAGTTCCTAAGAAAACAAAGTTAAATGTTAGCTCATTTCAGCCTTCTTGGATTGTTGAATACAGATTTGCTTAACATAAAGATCATGCTGTTTGTGCGCTATGTTGTGAGAGTGTTGTTTGCTGCACATATAGGATACGTCTAGACTACATGGCTCCGTCGACGGAGCCATGTAAAATATTTTATTTGGCATAGTCAGAGAAGCGGGAATTTGAATAATCCCCGCTTCATTAAGATAAAAATGGCTGCTGCGCTGTGCCGACGATCAGCTGATCCGGCATGGCGCGACAGTCTAGATGCGGCGCGGTCGACAAGGGAAGCCTTTGTCAACCACTCCGATATGCTGGTTGTTTCCAGCTAATAGGAGCTGAGGATTGGGCTGGGGGCAGGGAGATCACACAAAGATTGCCGCACAGACTGTACTTTAAACTGCAGCAGCTGTGTGCCTGGTGGTCCTGGTGGTTTGGCGGGCCAGATGTGGCCCCCAGACTGTATTTTGCCCAGGCTTGCTTTAGCCTGATTTCTTCCAGGCTGCAGACCTTGTGAGAAGGGCCGAGTCCATGCAAAGGTCACCGGAGAAGCGGCCCAGGAATCTAGAGGCAATAAAGGGGAGCAGAGGAGGGCAGGACAAGGCCGTCTCTAAAGGGTATCTGACTCGGGACCCAGAGTAATGAGTGGGCCTGGGTCCTCCCCTTCCCCCTTGCTTTGCCACGAGGGTGTCACCTATACATACTGTGGCTTGTCCCTGAGGGGCTAGGCTTTAGGGCCACAGTGGCAATAGAGAACAAGAACTGCTGATACAACCACTGGAATGGGGAAGAGAGACCACTGTACAGTGGGCACTGCCAGAAGGCAGTGATACAAAGAGGATTTTACAGTTTGGGAGCCACGTGGATCCAGAGTGAGAGCATGGAGTGAGGATGCAGGAGACACCAGTCAGAAGGAGGTGCCTTGAAAACGACTGAGTTAATTCCTGAAAGTCGTTTTAAAAATAATCTTTGAGAAAGGATTTGCCTTCTCCAAGAAGACACATGAACTATCTAATCTAGTTGCTTATTTCTGTTTTTCACTTGGAACAGGTACTTCAGAAGGCTAAACCATTAATTCAATGCCTCGAATCATTAGAGACCCTATAATTTTTATCCTAGCTATACTGTAAACATATGTACTATTTTTATCATATAATTGTCTAATATTGTGCTAAATTTACTAAGGCATTTGTCTCCTACAGCAGTGAGTTTCACATGTTAATTGCATATTGCATAAAAATAATGTATATTTCCTCCCATTTTAAATGTATTGCCTTTTGGCCTCATAAGGACCATGCCTATGAAAATGTCATAATTCAGTTATTAGGATCAATTGTTGTAAAATGTGCTATGTTTTCAGCTTATTTCCCAGTGAACTAGTATAATTACTGTTTCCTGATTTATAAACTTACA